TTCAAAGTTATTAAAATGTCCTTAGAATTGCAAGATTTTATTTCTTATTCTGAAGTCCAAATTATTCATTTGTTGAATAAAGTATTATGAAAGAGTATAATATGTAGACATTTATATTTTTAATTAGTTTTTTAACTTCTTCCTGGTGTGAAAATTTTGCTCTTTTTTTTTTTGTGAAGGGTCAGATAGTAAATATTTTAGGCTTTTTATGGTCTCTGTTGCAACTACCAGATTCTGTAGTTGTGGCATGAAAGTAGCCATAGAGAATATGTAAATGAATGTGTGTGGCTATGTTCAAATAAAACGTTATTTACGAAAACAGATGGTGATTTTGATTTGGCTCATGGGCCATTGTTTTCTGGGCCTGACCTAAACCCTACTACCTCATTGTAGTCATCCTGGTAAATAGATGAGAGGTTTAATGAGAGATTGTGTGAAGACAGTTGTCTCCACAAACATGAATTATTGCCATTAATTGCTTTTACATATAGTTTAGTTTGTGATAGTTAGAAAGCTGATGAAAACATTACTCCATTTTATAATGAAATTTTATTATGCTGAGAACATAATTGGTTAACCAGATTGTAATATGAAAATTTTGTTCCATTGAAAATTTTGTCCCATTGTGAAATGTTGCTTCTGGTGGGTTAAGTCTCAAAATTGGCTAATAGAGCTCCTCCCTCCAGCATTCCCCCAAGCCCCCAGATTGTCCCCTTTTACACTATACTAGTGAAATTTAAAGATTTAGTTAATATGCTTGTGATGTTTGGTTGCAGATGTGGATGCTACGTGCAGTGACTTTAATTTTGGAACAGCTCTGCACATTGCCGCTTATAACCTGTGTGCAGGCACCGTGAAATGCTTATTGGAGCTTGGAGCAAATCCCGCATTTAGGGTAAGAAGTTACATTGAAAGAATTTAACCATCTAACATTATCTCCCAGTAGGGAGTTGAATCTAGATGTTGTTTCTGAATTCTGTGTACGCAAATCATTTATTTTTGTGTGTCCCTGTAAAGAGTAATGGTGTTAACCTTCATCTCAAATAAACGTGAGGCAAGCGGTGAAGTTCAGCCCCTGGTATTGAGGCGTCTACAGACCTGCTTCCATTCAGTAACATGAAATGCCCCTCAAGTGTCATCGTCTTCGAGTTTAAGGATCTTTCATTTGGGCTTTTGATGTATTTATAAATGTTAACTGTCAAATACAAGTGCATATATGCAAGTTATATTTCTGTATTAAATTATATTTTAAACTCTTTTGGAAAGAAATTTTATTCCAGACAATTTTAAAAGATGCACATTTCAAAATGGAGCGAACTTTAAAAAACCAAATTAAAGGAAAAAACGTATTTTTTCAAGGTAATGTTACTGATTTACAAAGTCACCACCCAGGGTTGAATTTCCTAAACTTTAAATCCTTTGGTAGTCTATTGTCTTCACGGCAGCGGCTCTTATATTAGTGCCAGTGACAGGGATTCTTCCCGCGCGGTCTCTGCCTGCCCTTGTGGGGCAAGGGTGGGAAACGTGTGAAAGAGCCTCGTCTCTTCTCTCCTTCTCTTCCCTGGTTTCCTCCCCCCTTCACTCCTCCCTGCTTCCTTGCCACTTTTCTTTCTGTTTAACCTCATCAGGTTAGGGAGGTGGGTGGGAGGGTGTCCCTCAGCCCCACTTGTGCCCTATCCCAGTCTGGGATCCCTTGGGAGATAACCACCTGCTGGCTTAGGCCCGCTCCCCAGGTGGCAGGCCTGATCCCTCAGTGCCTGCCCCACCTCCCTGGGTCACGCACACAGCAGGGCCGATCCGGGGATTGGGGCGCCGCCCTGGGTCGCACATGGCAGGGCCGATCCGGGAGTTGGGGCACTGCCCCGGGTTGGGATGCCCGTATGGAGGCCAGGCGGGCTGGCCGATCGCTGCTGCACCGCCTGGCCACCGGGTCAGGCCCCGGGTCGCAGATAGCAGGCCAGGATGGCATCAGGGCAGGTGGGATGGCGCTGTCCCACCCCACTGTCCCGGGTCGCAAATAGCAGGCCCAGATGGCAGCTGGGCAGGCAAGATGGTGCTGTCCTGCAGTGCCTGCAGTATGCAAATTAGCCGCCATCTTTGTTGGTGGTTTATTTGCATATCACGCTGATTAGCCCATGGGAGGTGTAGCGAAGGTATGGTTAATTACCATGTTTGTCTATTATTAGATAGGATGTTTACTTTGAATTTATATTAGTTCACACAAACACTCCATCCATGCTTTTGTTTCGGGCCTCTGGTCCAGTTTAAGAACCCATTGTGGCCCTCGAGTCAAAAAGTTTGCCCACCCCTGGAATAGAGTCTAGAGGGGAGGGTGGACAAGTAAGCAGTGGGTTTTGCTGTAGAGTGTTTAGTGGTAGAGAGGTGAGTGCGTGTGCACAGAGGGCCTTTATAGGGGGGGTGTCTGGCAGAGGTGACAGTGAGTGCTCAAACCTAGTTAAAATTAACCGGGCACATACAGGAAGGAGGTGAGAAAAGCATTGTAGGCACAGACAGTAGCATGAGCAACGGCTAGGGGATGATAATTCAGTTTGGCTGGAATGTGAGGGTGAGTGTGTTTGCTTTTGCTGGTAAACTGTTGACAAAACCCCAGTAGTGGAGAGAATATTTTGAACCCAGTAAGATGCAGTTGTTGGCGGTGGCGAGAAAGGCACCAGGTGTTAGACCACTGGAGTCAGACCAGACCTGGGTTCAGCAACCTCCGTACTTGAGCTCTGGCCAGGAAGGTACTCGGAGCCAAGACTCACACTATAAGAGAACATTTATTTAGAAAGTAACAGAGGTAGAAGCGAGTGGTAGGAGAAATGGGCTCAGGCAACAAGTTACAGAGGCAAACGAAGGGTCTTTGAAGCTTAGGAGAGGAAGGTAATGGTGATGCGCCTGGGGGTGGGGGTGGAGAAGAAGGGGAGGGGACAGGCACAGGGGTGCTCCCAGGAGGGAGAGCACAGGGGGTCCTCCTCGTCCTGAGGGCTTTTAAGGGTGGAGTATTTGGGGGGGGGGGTCCCAGGAGAAGACTTAATAGAATATTCATCAGCTTTCTTGGTGGTGCTTTCAGGGCCATGGTCCCCACTGATTGGTTGACGCCAGGGCAGGGGTCATTAGTCAGTGCAGCTGGTCCTGGTGTCAGCCATTCGTCTGATTTTGTTGTTTTTCTGGGCCTGGAGCTGAAACACAACTGAGGCTTAGATGCATATGATGTGGGTCAGAACCTCACCGTCCCCGGGGGTTTGGGTCAGAACCTCATTGTCCTGGGGGTTTGGGTCAGAGCCTCATTGTCCCGGGGGTTTGGGTCAGAGCCTCACTGTCCTGGGGTTTGGGTCAGAACCTCATTGTCCTGGGTTTGAGTCAGAACCTCATTGTCCCGGGGGTTTAATGCTTAAGGGCTGTTCTCCAGCCCCCTCGTTCATTCTCCCAGCAAGACTAGCAACATGCCAGGAGAGGAAAGGTCAGGGAGTGTTTGAATGGCAAGATCAGTGATAGGAAAGGTCAGGGGTCTAAACCATATGACCAGAGAGAGACACCTATGGGAGGAAGGGCCTTGTTTTTCCAGTTTTGCCTGTTGGCTAGGCACCCGGGGCTTTCCGCCTGGCGATCTATTGTACCTCGCCCGTCAGCCTTGCTCTGTTCATGTCTGTCTGTCTGCCTACCACACGGCAAGGTATGTCATTGAGGTGAATTGCCAATTCATGCCAGAAATAATAATAGATTACCATATTTTGAAGTTTAGTACTTAGAAAAAGAAAATCAGTCAATGTGGTTCA